AAAACAACAGACAATATTTACATTTTATTTATTTTTGAGAGACAGAGCACAAGTAGGGGAGGGGCAGAGAGAGAGGGAGACACAGAATCCCAAGCAGGCTCCAGGTTCTGAGCTGTCAGCACAGAGCCCGATGCAGGGCTCGAACTCACACTGTGAGATCATGACCTGAGCCAAGGTTGGATTGAGCCACCCAGGTGCCCTAACAACAGACAATATTTAATACTGGGAGACTTCACATTAAAAACTGGAATTTTCAGCCACTTGGAAATTTGGAAGATCTGATCTCCCTGGCTCCCTTTCCTGCCCAGCAACAAATTCCTAACCCTTCTTAGAGTCTGTACTCATTGACTCTGCTTGGTCCCACAGGCATCTGACCCTGGGCATTCAGTAGGCTCCAGCCACCACAGCATTTCCTTTGAGTACTTAAGAATACAGCTTCCCCCCAGAAATTTTCCTTCACCTTGATCAGAAGTTCAGAAGAAGATAAATGTGAAAATGGTCCTATCACAAAATACAAACCCATGTGGTTTGCCTTCCTCCCTTTGACAACATCCTTTCCTACCTCCCCCTGGTACCATGGGGACTTCTAAAAAAGGAAAGTCAAACTGAGTTCTTAAGGCCTGGGCTCCTGGTCTCATCTCTATCATTAATGCACCATTATGGGCCAGTCACTTAAATTTTCTAGGCCTCAGTTCCCTAAACTGGAATATTAAATGTTTGAATGATTTGATCTTTAAAGAGCCCAACTCTAAGCCTGCACAAAACAGATGTAATTGAAGATGACTGGAAAATACTGCATTTTTGCTGAGAACTCCAGGGATTCCCCAGTGTGGCTTCCTACAATGCTCTTACCTACAAACAGGTGAGACAGCCTTTCCTTTCTGAGCTTTGAAATTATTATTATTTTTTTTAACATTTATTCATTTTTGAGAGAGAGAGAGAGAGAGAGAGAGAGCATGAGCATGAGCAGGGGAGAGGCAGAGAGAGAGAAAGAGAGAGGAAGAATCAGAATCTGAAGCAGGCTCCAGGCTCTGAGCTGTCAGCACAAAGCCCCACACAGGGCTTGAACTCATGGACTGCGAGATCACGAACTGAGCCTAAATCAGACACTTAACAGACTGAGCCACTCAGGCTTTGAAATTAAACCCTGAGCCCCTGAGCTTTGAAATTAAACATTAATACAGGACAGGAGAGTGTATGTGAGTCTAGAAGGAAACAGCAAAATGTTCACTGTATTAAGTTATATCTGGGTTATACAAACCTAATACTTGTCAATTGGCATTTTTTCATTATACTTTTGCAAGCTTCCAAGTTTTCTCCCACTAAGCAAGCAAGCTTATAACAAAAAACAAACAAAACCTCCCCCCCAAATCTTCTGACATCAATAATTTTTTTTAATGTTTATTTATTTTTGAGAAAGAAAGAGATCATGAGTGGAGGAGAGAACAAGGGAGACAGAATCTGAAGCAGGCTCCTGGCTCTGAGCTGTCAGCACAGAGCCCTATGCGGGGCTCGAACCCATGAAACATGAGATCATGACCTGACCCGAAGTCGGACACTCAACCGACTGAGCCACCCAGGCGCCCCTGACATCAATACTTTTTAAAGTACATTAAACAGGGCCTCCTCATGTGAGATGGGAATGCTATTTTATGACTTTTATTATTGTATTCTGGAATTCCTGTGAAAATCAGCCAGAATCAAGTAAGTATTCAAAATCTGTTTCTGGTTCTGTCCAATAGGAACTGTAAAAATACCTACTGTCCCCTCCCTCTTGAGAAGGTGGTTGTAAAGATCAAATGAGCTGGTGCCTGGGAAAGCCCTGGGAAAAGCAAAAGTGCTACACAGAGAAGAGATGTTCAAGCGTAGCTTATTGATTACATTACACTGCTGTACCATATTAGAAGTTGGGCCAACGATTAAACTCAGATTCTTTTAGACCACAATTACAAGTCATCCTGAGAAACTGATGCCAAGTATATTAAAGAAGAACTTGGTTGGTGGGTATATTAAACTGCTTAAGTGAATAATACAAATTGTAACCTGGGGTGGAAATATGACAATTGTGCTGTTAATAACTAATTAATTAAGATCAAATTATTTCACTGGGCCTAGTAAAACTGCTTAGAAAGCTTTTTATTAGCAGTTAAAAGTATGTCTCAACATAGCTAATACAATTATTTTTCACTGATATGAATTAGTAAGACTCTTTTAATATCTTCCCAAATAATTTCCTAAATGCCCCAACTCATTTTAAAAACATACTACTGGGCCACCTGAGTGGCTCAGTTGGTTAAGCTAAGGACATGATCTCACGTTCAAGCCCTCACATTGGGCTCTGTGCTGACAGCTCAGAGCCTGGAGCCTGCTTCAGATTCCGTGTTTCCTACACTCTCTGCCCCTCCCTCACTCACTCACACCCTCTCTCTCAAAAATAAAATAAACATTAAAAAAATTTTTGGAGGGGGGGTTGCCTGGATGGCCCAGTCGGTTAAACGCTGAACTCTGGCTCAGGTCATGATCTCGTGGTTCATGAGTTCGAGCCCCACATCAGGCTTTGTTCTGCTGATGGCTCAGAGCCTGGAGCCTGCTTTGGTTTCTGTGTCTCCCTCTCTCTACTCCTCCCCTGCTCGCTCTCTCTCTCTCTCTCTCAAAAAATAATCATTAAAAAAATTTTTAAATAAAAGCATACTACTCATTTTCTAGACAGCGATGTTACTGTACTTACTGATTTGGATCTGATCCATAATCCACCAGAACATTAACTACCTTCGTAAGGCCTAGTAATGCCGCAACAAAAAGTGCAGTCTGGCCCAGGGAGTTAACTGCATCAACATAAATTCCTGCAAAACAAATGCAAGGGTCAATACAAACATCACGAAATCCCGTAAAACTAGAGAAGTTCCTACCAGGAGAAAATTTGAATTCCCTTATACAGTATTTTTATGTTTTACTACTGTAAGCTTTTTTTCAAACATAAAAACTCACAAATTAGCTAAAGGCAACCAGCATTCCACTCATCAAAAATACTACTTACAGAAGGTTGTATGAAAGCATCCCACCCCAGCACTCTAAAAGCCCAATTAAAGGGGGCGCCTGGGTGGCGCAGTCGGTTAAGCGTCCGACTTCAGCCAGGTCACGATCTCGCGGTCCGTGAGTTCGAGCCCCGCGTCAGGTTCTGGGCTGATGGCTCAGAGCCTGGAGCCTGTTTCCGATTCTGTGTCTCCCTCTCTCTCTGCCCCCCCCCCCCCCT